CTGGCTGTGCTCCTGCAGGACGGCTCCATGCTGCTGCAGGACAGCCAGGCACGGTGTTACCCTCGCTATCACCTTCCTTTGCCATCCTCCACGCCCCGCCCCGGCAGCAGAAGCTGCTGGAAGTTACTGGAAAAGGAGCAGCTCGGATTCAGCTGCACCTCCAGCCCCAGGCTGGGATCACACCAGCCCCTTGATTCTGCTGCTCTGCAGGACAACATCCACATTTTTCTTTTGGAATCTGCTTCAGCAGCAGCCTTCACAACAAACCCAGAGCACATTGGAAATGCCGAATTCCCAAGGTCTGGGTGAACAAAGAGCCTTTTGTGTTTCACCAGAGTCAGCTTTAAGAAAAGTCCTGCCAGTCCCAGCCACCCCCAGGCCCCGAGATTCCAATCTGCTGCACAATTTGGAAATTCCCAAGTCAGAAACTGTAGAGACATCAATTCTCCAGCCACTGCCCACAACTCCCGGCCCTTCAAGGAAAGAGGCTGGATTAGGAGAAGGAAAGGGGCTGGTTTAGAAGGAAAGGGGCTGGTTTAGAAGGAAAGGGGCTGGTTTTCCAGGAGCAGGACAGGCTCCTTACATGCCCCCAAGCCATTCGGAGGCTGAGCCCATCTGCATGACCATTTGCATGAGAAAAGGAAGGAGCATAATAAAAGACCAAAAATAGTTATGCTGGGTTTAGCTGGCATCTCCTTTGCCCCTGCAAGGCTGAGCATTCCAGCCAATTCCAAAGTCAAGTTGGTTAATGGAGCAAAGGGAAAAGCCCTGATAAATGAAACCATGGCTGGGACTGCAGCAGATCCAGGGGAGGTGGGGGCAGCAGCTCTGGCAGAGCCCGGGTCACCCAGAAATGAGACAACTCCATCCATCCTGGGCAGATGGAGGGACAGGCAGTTCATTGCTTGGCTCTGAGCTCAGGATTTAGATCCAGACCATGGGTGATGGCAGGAGGGACGTTATGGATGACACAGCTCACACAGCAGGGGGATGCTGAGGGAGCAAGAGCCAGAGAGGCTGGATAACCCTGCCTGGCAGCAGAGAGGGAAGGCTGAATTTCCAGCGTGGTTTGTTCCTCCCCGCAGCCACAGAGGGGACAAAAGTAAGTTCTGCAAAAGGTCCCTTCTGCTTCCCCTCCCCCAAGGGGAAGGTCAGGCAGCAGATGCTGCAATTCCAAGCTGTTCCCGTGGAGCAGCAGTGACTGCAGGGAGCCCCGGGTGTCACTGAGTCAGGGCCAGCTCTGCTGCCTCTTACGTGCCATCGGCACCCATCGCAATGTCAGAGCCGCCCGAAGGTTTCCACGGATCCCGGCGGGACGGGCTGCGTGTGGAGGCAGAGCTGATCCCTGCAGGGCTGTGCTGAGCTGACAGGCTGGGTCATGACTCCAGCACGCAGGTTAACTGCACACACAAGTGTTTCTGGGATGAAGCAAGCCAGGGGCAGCTCCCTCTTTCCCAGGACCCAGGCCTGCTCCTCTGGGAAGAGCCCTCCCTGTCCCACCACAGGGCTGTCAGAGTACTCTGCTGTTTGAGGCCCAGCTGAGCTGCTCATCTCTCCATGCACTCTGCAGGCTCCACAGAACCATCCTCACTGGACAGGGATATTCTGGAGCCAGCAGCAGTTCCATCTTCCCTAACTTTGGGATCTGCCCCCACCCAAGTGAAAGGTCACACCAGTTTGGAGCACGAATTTTGCATTAGGATGATAAAACTACAGCAAACGCCACTACTTTACCAGCCATTCTGGGGTGCCAGGGGGTGTGGGATCTCCCCCCGGGGTCCCAGGGGGTCTGGGATCCCCCCCCTGGGATCCTAGGAAGTCTGGGATCTCCCCAGGGCTGAGCTGGAGCACGAGCTGGCCACACGGCCAGTCTTCCCCAGCTCGTGGATAATCCCATGGACAAACAGTCCCTTTCCCCACGCCAACGTCACGCGTCTGGATGAACAGCAGGATTGTTTCTCCCTGAGATGAGGCCCACGAGGCCTCTCTTCCCCTTGGGATACAGCAGTAACCCACCACATCAGCACAGCTCCAGGCCTGGAATGAGCCCAGGGATGTGGAGCTGGAGATCACCTCAACACCAGCCACACCACAGGACCTCCTGCCACAGCCAGAGGAACGAGAGGGAGCAATGGCAGCTCCGAGAGAGGCCTGCAGAGCAGAGTCACAGTGCCCAGCCACGGGACCAGCTTCCACCTCAACCCTGTTTGGGATGGCTCTGGCTCATCCTCTGTCCCAGGGGCTCCCTGGAATCAGCACAGGGCACCCACAGGAGCACCCGGAGCGTCCCCACGGCTGCCTCATCTCACACTGACTCAACAACAGCCCCTGGAGCCCAGCCAGGCCCGCTGGAGGAAGTCAGAGTTGTCACAGGGTAATGGATTTTTCGCTCTGGCTTTGCACACGAGGAAAGTGTTGCTTTGCTGGGTTTTTCCAGCCTTTGCTCTGTCCTCCCTTCTGCTGCAGGTACCCAGAGCAACAATCCCCCCAATTCCACCAGGAGCAGGGCAGCACTTCCAGCCCAGCCCAGGCTCCAAAGGGGAGCAGGCAGCAGAGCACATCAGGCCTCAGGGATGACTCTGCCTCCCAGGGGCACCTGGAAAAAGCAGGATAAAGGCGCAGCCTAAGGTGCACTCTGCACTGACAGCATTAGCTGGATATTACGTATTCCTAAAGATAAGCTGCTAAACCTCCAGCAAAGCTGGGTCTGGAGCCACTTACAGCAGCATCTGTGGCTCAAGAATCACAAAATACCTCCCTGTCTCACAAGAAATTAAAACTCAGAAGTCAAAGGCACTTCAGAGCTGAGCACTGTGGGAAGGACTGGGAAGGTTTTGCAGCCTCTCTGCTCTGACCCCAGGCACTTTCACTGCTCACAAGGGACATCCTCCCTTTGTGCAGTGTGGCCATGGAGACCCCCGATCCTTCCAGAGGAGCAGGAGTGACCAAGAATGGCACAGACCGGCCAGTCTGACCTCCACAATGGCACTAAATCACCCCATTCTAGTGCAGCTGGTACTTCCATCCCATCAGTGGAAGGGCCACGTTAGATGTGCACAGGGAAGCAGCTGGCAAAGAGCTCCAGAGGCGGCTGGAGTCAGGAAGAACTTTGCTCAGGATGCTGAGTCCGCTCCGAGCTCCCCAAGCCTCAGCCAAGCCCATTTCCGTTCCTGATAATGGCACAGGTCACTGCACAACCCCACACGTGTCCCAGGGAGCATCCCAGGAGCTCCAGGGTGAGCCAGGCACGGGGAACCGGCTCCCTGCTCAGCACCTGCCCCCGGCTCCTCCCTGTGAACCAACAGCTCCAGCTTCTGCCACCACACCAGGCCCTCCCAGTGCCCCTCTCCTCCCTCTGTGGGCATCCTGAGGAGCCATGAGCTCACCCTCCTCCCCAGGCTCACCCCACACACAAGTGACTAAGACAGAAAGTGAATGTGAAGCACGGAATTCACAGTCCAGGGGTCAGCACCAGGCAAACTGGGAGCTGGATGCGAGTCCAAAGCTGGGAGAGGGAGCAGAGTGCAAGGACAAGGCCCTGGGGACTGCCATAAACAGGTGGCTGGGGAAGTTCCACATCTCCCAGCAAAAATCCCCCCCTGCCCTGGGGCTTGGCAGAAGATTTCCAGACCAGAAAACGGGTTTTAAACCAAAAAAAAAAAAAAAAAAGGGATGGAAATCGAGAAAGTGTGGCCACTTTGCAGCTCCAAGCACCTGGAGGAGGGAATCCTGCCTTTCACTGGCAGCAGGGCCCATGACAGAGATGGTTTTCCTAAGCATCTGTACTGGACAACTTCAGATCCCCTTTCCTCTCCCTCTGGAGAGCTTCCTGCCCTTTCCTCCCGCCTGTCCTTCTCACACAGGTTTCTCTGGAGGAGCTGAGCTCACTGTACTGCAGATCAGAGCAGAGGCAGCTCTGTAAGATCAGCATTCCTGAGCCCACAGCAAGAGACAGAAGCAGAGCAAGAGTTTGCTTTCAAGTTCTCCTCAAGAGCTCTCCCTCCTGACAGCTGAGCTGTGACCTGAAAAAAAAAACCAAACTGGAAAATTCCCCATTCCCCGAGCAGTTCAGAGATTAAGGAGTTTAAACTTCAGGGCTAAGCCTCTGCCTACAACAGAAACAGGCATTAGCTGGGCTGGAGGAGGTCAGGGGGGGAAGAGATGGCATAAAATAGGGAAGTTACAGACTGTAACTTCAGGGTTGTGCCAGCAAACCCTTTGCTCTCTGTGGTGTTGGTTTTTTCCTCGTCACTAATCTTCGGGCTGCTCGTGAACCCTGCAGCAGGCGAACCCCCACCCGACCCCAGCCAGGGCTCTGCTCGGGGATGTCCCTGCAGCGTCACATCCAAGGGGTTTCTCAAACCTCCACCGGGACAGGCAGATCCACACCCTCATCCACACCGCGATCCATCCATGCCCTGCCCGGGGAGGGCTCCGAGGGGGCTCCGGTGCCTCCCCCCCAGCCCGGCCCCTCGCTCGCCATCGCCTCCCGCCCAGGGAAACGCAAATAATTAACACGAATAATTAAAGACCAGCGCGTGGATGCGGCGGCCGCGGCTCAACAGGTCGCTCAGCCCGGCCCGGGGGGACAGGCGGGCTGGGCAGGGGGGATCGGGACCCCCGGGCTGGGCCGGGGGAGGGGGGGACCCCTCCAGGGCCCCGGTGTTCCCTCAGAGCCCCCTCAGAGCCCCCAGCCCCGCCGAGCTCCTCACAGACCCCTCGGACCCCCCTACTCCCCTCAGATCTCCCAGTGCTCCCCCTCAGACCCCCCAGCCCCGCTGTGCTCCCTCAGAGACCCCCCCGCTCCTCTCACACCCCGTGTGCTCCGAGCCCCCTCAGACCCCGTGTGCTCCCTCACAGACCCCTCAGACCCCACCGCTCCCCTCAGACCCCTCAAGCCCCCCTGTCCTCCCCCCCAGACGCCTCAAACCCGCCCCGGTCCCCCCGTGCTCCTCCACAGAGCCCCCCCAGCCCCCGCGCTGTCCCCGCTGTCCCCGCACCTCTGGGGCCGCGCTGTCTCCGGCGGACGCGCACGGGCCGGGCCGCAGCACCCCCCGCTCGGGCCGCAGCGCTCCCGCCGCCCTCGCGCCTCGCGCGCCGCCCGCGGCCGGAGCTACTTCCTCTTAAAGGGGCCGCCCCCGCGGGAGGGGCCGGGAGGGGGGGGCGGGGGCTGAGCCGGGGAGGCGAGTCCTGGTTTAGTGTAGTTTGGAACAACTATTCCACTTTATTTTACTCTGCCTCCTTTTATTCCATTCCAATGTTTCATTTATTCCAATATTTTATTTGTATTTACTTTTATTCCAATATTTTATTTTCTATTTCCAATATTTTATTTTCTATGTCCATATTTTATTTTCTATTCCAATATTTTATTTTCTATGTCCATATTTTATTTTCTATTCCCCATATTTTATTTTCTATTCCAATGCTTTTATTTCACTCTATTTTATTTTATTGGTTTTGATCTTATTTATCTATTTTATTTTATTGTCTTATTCTGGTTCCTGTTTATTTTATCTCCTTTATCCTGTTTTTATTTCCATTTCTATTTGGTTTTATTTGTTTTCTGTTGCATTTTCTTTCCTTTATTTCTTTTTCTTGTTATCTTAATGTTATTTAATTTTATTTTATTCTATTCTATGTATTACTTGTTTTCCTTTTATTCTATTTACTTCCTTTTCTTCTATTGTATCTACTTTATTATATTTTATTTCCTTTTGATGTTTATATATTACTTTTTTATTTTTCCTTTTATTCAAATATATTTATTTTATTCTATTTTATTTTTATTAATTTTAAATTTTTTTTAATTTTTCTTCTTATTTCATTGTCTCTATTTCCTTTTATTTACCTTATTCTACTTCATTTCTCTTTCTTCTATTAATATATGTATTTTTTCTTATTTTTATTTCTTTTATTTAATTCTATTTATTTTACTCTATTTCCTTTTCTTCTATTCATTTTTCCTTCTTTTTTAAATTTTTTATTTTTCCTTTTATTCCATACTACTTATTTCCTTTCCACTATTTCATTTCCCTTCTTCTATTTTATTTTCTCCCATTAATACACTTATTATTTTCTTATTTTTATTATTTTTTAAGCTTATTCCGTTCTGCTTATTTCTATCCTTTTATTCTGTTTTATTGATTCTCCTTTATTAATTGATATCTGTGGGTTTTTGGGAGCAGGGATGCTCAGCACCAACAATCCATGGAATCTGCTGGAGCTGGGACAGAGCGCAGGGCAGGGGATCAGAAGGACACAACGAGCCCTGGAAAGGCCAAAACGCTCCCAAATCCAAAGGAAAAAGGAAATGGAGGTTGGGAAGCCCCAGCCCTGGACTTTGAGGTCACACAGAGGAGAAGCAGCAGAACCAGGGGGGGTTCAAAGGGAGTTTCTCACTCAGGATGGGCAAACTCCAGCGGGAAATCCCTGGGAAGCCCCAGAACAAGCGGTGACCAAAGCTGGGCTGTTCCCCAGAGCTCATTCCCAACCCCCCATCCTGCACCCCAAGGGTTTTTCCAAGGCCTTTGACACCAACCACAGGGAGTCCAGGGATCTGGGGTGCCCTGGGACCACCCAGAGCCCAGTTCACCCCCTGGAGCTCACAGTCCACCCACCCCAGACACCCCCAAACTTCCAGTTCACCCCCCTGGAACTCACAGCTCACCCACCCCAGACACCCCCAAACTTCCAGTTCACCCCCTGGAACTCACAGCCCACCCACCCCAGACCCCCAAACCTCCAGTTCACCCTCTGGAACTCACAGCCCACCCACCCCAGACCCCCAAACTCCCAGTTCACCCCTGGGTGGTCACAGCCCACCCCCAGACCCTCAAACCCCCACTTCACCCCCTCAGTGTCCACAACATAACCCAAGCCCCCAGTCCATCCCCTGACCCCAGGTGGTCACAAGCCCACCCCAACCCCCCAGCTCATCCTCTAAGGGATGTTCACCCCCTCAGGAGCTCACAGCCCACCCCAGGCCCCAGGTCACCCACCCTGGGTGTTCCCAGCCCACCCCAGACCCCAGATCCCAGATCACCCTCCCAGCCCCCAGCCCAGCTGTGCCACAGCCCCCAGGATGAAGCTCCAACTCTCCCCGTTCCCAGCTGGCACAGCCTCATCCAGCAGCTTTGGCTGCTCCTGCAGAGCAGCTGATCCCACTCCTGCTCCAGCCCCAGGGCCTCCCTGCCCGGATTCCTCCCTGGCACAGACGATGCCCGTGTGCCAGAGGCACTGCCAGCTCCTGCCTGGTCCAGGGCACAGGATCATGGAACTGGGGGTGGAAGGGACCCCCTGGAGCTCACCTGGCTCCCTGAGCACTCAGGGCTGTGTCCAGGAGGCTTTGGAACAGCTCTGCTGAGGGACACTCGACCACCTCCCTGGGCAGGCAGTGCCAGCGCCTTCACCCTCAGCTCAGTGTCACTGATGTCACCTCTGCCACGAGGAAGAGACAGAAGGGGCCCATTTGTGGCCTCATTAAGAGCAGAGCTCCCATTTTCCCAAATATTCCCAAATATCAGATTTTAGCTGCTGTCACGATCCAAAAACCAGAACAATTAATGCAGCTTTAACTGAGACTGAATTATTTTTCCCTGTAATTTCACACTGGTGCCAGGGCCTTCCAAAGGGGTGCTGTAGGGATTCCTCACCTGCTGGTGGAAGGCAAGGAGCTTTGGGAATGAGATTCCTCCTAACCTGCCCCAAAGACACATCATTCAGTGCTGGGGCAAATCCACATCCTGGTTTTGGGTCCATCCAAACTGGAAGGGTCTTATACAAGGACCACTTACAAAGCCAAAAAAATTAACTTTGTTTTCAAAGTTTATTGGATCATCTTGACACAAAATCATTACAGCAGCTTGTGGTATGTTGTTTTCTTTATCTTTTTTTTTTTTTTTCCTTTTTTAAGGGAATGTTGATAGCAAATAAATTTGTGAATGTAACACATCATACAGTTTCAAAATTCTAGAATCACTGCACAGGATTCTGTAAGAGACTCTACATGCTAAAGTGACAGTTTTCATCCATGGATTTAAAAAAAAAAAAAAAACAAAACAAACAAAAAACCCCCAAAAAACAAAAGAACCACTAATTGAGGAACATTATCCTTTAAGACAATTTTAATATGTTGAGTTTCTAATACACAACTGGCTAACCAAGGGAGGCTGACCAAAAGCAAACCCTCCACGTCCCAGCAGCTCAGTCAGACCCAGAGCTGGGCCTGGCCACGAACTCAGAGCACCAGAGCAGAGCCTTGGCCAAAATCCCTCCTGGGGGAAGAGTGTGAAGAGCACAGGACACGTGTAAAGCACAGGACATCACCCAAGGGATAAGATCACCACCTCCTCCTGCTCCCTGCAGGGGGGTTTGGGGTTTTTAGGAGTGCTGGTGGTGCTGGAGATGTGCAGACCCACCCAGCTCCTCCCTGGGCACCCTCCTGGAGAGCAAACCCCTCCCGAGCTGGGCCTTGAACAAAACCCTTCCAGGACTTCTGGGTTTGCTGGGTGTGGAACAGCAAGAGAAAAACTGGGGGGGGATAAAAAATAAATGGAAAGGGATGGGGGAGAAGGACATGAGCTGAGCACCCCTGCAGGACACAGTGACATTTCCAGTGGTGACTCCACAAGACTTCAATGGTGCAGAATGGGCTTCACTTCAGACCCTCCTTCCCTCCAAAGGAACCTGCTGAGGACCCAAATCTGCAGCTCCTCAACCCCAACCCATCCTGTAACTGGAGAGGGTATCCCAATCCACCCCCCAGTCCATCCTGGACCTGCAGAGGGGATCCCAATCCACCTCTCAGCCCATCCTGCACCTGGAGAGGGGATCCCAATCCACCCCCAGCCCATCCTGCACCTGCAGAGGGGATCCCAATCCACCCCCAGCCCATCCTGTACCTGGAGAGGGAACCCCACTCCACCCTCTTCCCTCCTGCACCCAGGCAGGGAGAGCAGCTCCTCACCCCCCTCCTTCCTGCACCCTGCCTGGGAGAGGGGCTCCCAACCCATCCCTCTCTCCTGCCCCGGGGCAGGGAGGGATCTGCAGGGCTGGGGACACTGTGGGGACACTGTGGGGACACTGTGGGGACACTGTGGGGACACTGTGGGGACACTGTGGGGACACTGTGACAGCTGGCTGCAGAGCTCAGAGGGAGGACAGGGCTGTGCCTGCACACAGAGCTCGGGGGTTTCTCTAACCTGGCCATGGACACACGTGCAGGAACAGACCCCTCTGGAGTTCCAGTTTCTTGCTACAGCTTCACTGCTCGGGAATGTGGAATGGACGTGGACTCATCAAACACAGCAGCAGAGCCAGCTCAGGGGGGACAGGCCTGGCAGGCTCTGGGTGTGGGGCAGGCCCAGGAGCAGAGACTGAACAGTGACATTTCCAGCCCTTCTCGACTCTTCCAGCTGTCACTAAAAGAAGGTTAAGGCTCAAGGCAACTACTACAGACAAACTCAAACATCCCAGTTCTCACAGGGCTCCTTTGGATTAGCTCAAGGAGATGGAGGATGTTTATATGCTGATCACAATAGATCTTGAGATAATAATAATAATAAATCATATATATATATATATAAAAAAAACCAAAACAAAAAAAGAGGCCTTCAGGTCCAGCACCAGCCTCTGCTAGAAATGTACATCAACTACAGCAGCCCTGAAGACATATTCCATGGCTAAGGATTCAGTCAACCTTCCCTGGCATAAGCACAAGCAACAGACTGTGCTACTGGTGATGAAGTCCTGCTCATCCCTCGTCCCACGCGGATGGAAGGTCACGGGATCGTCATGAGCTGCTGAATAAATAGTGCCCTCCCCTCCCTCCCTCCCCTCCTCCAGTCATGTCACCAGGATCTCTTTGGGCTAGAAAGGGTTAACACCACGGTTTGTAAAAAGTCGTGAAATAAAAAGGTAACAATACAGCCTTAAAATGCCTAAACTGCACGGGAGGGTGGAGTTAACTGAAAGCAGTGCCCCAGGGTAGTACATGCGTACGAGGGAGAAACTTAACACTTGGGTCTGCTCATCTTTACACTCAGCTGTGTTCCTTGTCCTTGGAATACTGGAGAGGGAATATTCAGCACTTGGACAA